TCAGCCATATTGTTTTGTTTTCCATTTTAACATAGCCAATGTGTGTGTTTAAGCCACGCTTTATAAGAAAAAGCAATTCATTAATTTCTAGATCATTTAAAGTTCAAGTTCATCCTGTCCTTTCAGGGAATTTTATAAGAGGTATTCACGAGGGGTAACTTGATAGAAAATAACAATACAAACCAGAATTTTTTTCCGCATGCTACCGAAGTTACATTGTTAATTACCGTATGCTGCCAGATTTTTATTAATCTTTTATAAGTCTTTAAGAGGTAGGCCTAAATTCTCAGTCCTGGAAAATGTTGCTGCTGCTAGCATTTTCTGTGAGGTTCAGTAGTCAACATTTATGGGAAACACAGGGAAGACGGGAGCATCTCTCAGGTCACAGGGTTTGTGCTGAGCTCTGTGAATTCTCTGGCCTGGGATATATTCACAGGATTCCTGGCTCAGGACAAAGCTACACATTTCTCACTTTTCTGTTTGCCAGATTTACACCTTAAAAATAGAGATCAAGGACGAACGAGCTTGGAACCAAGGGAACACTATATGGGGAACTGAGCTTGTCATGTGGCTCTGGCTTGGGCATTGTTGATTTGGGCATTAAAACTGCTTGAATTGCCTTAAATCTCACCAAGAGAGCTGGTAAAATGTGCAAATGATCAGAGGCAAAAAAGAAGTATCACATTAAAACAAAAAGCAGACGCGATCTCATTATTTGAAGTTATTATTTCTTCAGACTAGCCAACTATTTATATTTTTGTTTTGCTCTTTAATATAATATAAATTGACATTGTGATTCTTTAGCTGATGTATAGATTGCAATACCAACCACAAAAACAAATGTTTTCTTTCTTTATATCCAAATCACCAAGAAGCTCTGTTGCTGGGTGAGTATTGCTTGTGCTTACAGCACTAGACACGAGGACTCCTTATTATATTTTTTCGCCTTTGTTTTTTGGCACCTTAAGCCATTCCAGGAAGTTCCCACAGCACCCGTTTCTCAACCAAGGTCACTCTGCAGCCCCTTCCCCAGGAACAGTGATTTCTATGATAGTAACTGGAGAAGAGCCACAGTAGCATCTTTCCTTTGTCTAACCCAGGAAAGACGACTAATAGGGAGACCCAGGGACTGAGGAGATGACAGGGAAATAGGGACATGGTAATGAGGGGAGGAGAAGGGGGAGGGGGCAGGAAAAAGACAAGAGCAGTGCTGATGATATGCTGGGGCGGGGTCGGAGGGTGAGAGGACAGAGATTACTTTAATGAGCCACAAGGCTGCCACCACCAAACAGATGCTCAGATTTCTCTGAAGTCTCCATCAACCCCAATGAATTTTTCCATGGCTCTCTAGTTCTGCACCGTCCAAAACAGTAGCACTGGCCACATTCATCTAATCCAAATTGATACATGCGTTAAGGGTAGAATACACACTGGATTTCAAGGATGTAGTGTTAAAATGTATTTTTTAAACAGAAATTATCTCAACAATTTTAATATCAATTATATGTTGAAACAATACTATCTTGCTTATATGGTCTTAAAATAGTTCGTTAAAATTACTTTTATACTTTGACAAAATGCTCCTAGAAAATTAAAAGTTACATAAATGGGTGGCCATAATAACCACATTTTCTAGTTTCTGTATCTGATGCTGTAGCATCTTGAAGGCTCAGGGACCTTGAGGGCCCTGCCCCTCCCAGAACTAGCCAATTCCTATAGTAAAGGACTCACTTCCAAGACGTTTTTCACGTGCATAGCAATCAATCCACTATAGCCACAGCCATCTCTTTATTGGGCTCTTAAACTCTGGACCTCTATCCCTCTGTCCTAATCACCCCAGGGCCAGGTACTAGAAAGCTAGTGACAGTCCCTGTGCCCCAGAACCTGCTATAATTATTCAGACTAGTCAGTCCCAAGCCTCTTAGTCTACCTCACTGCAGAGTAAGTAAGTAACTTTCCTGCAGAAACCACAGTGAAGGTTCTTGCTCACACTTTCCCTTTGCTCCCTCTGCCTCCGACTAGCCCCCTCTTACCCATGTAGCCTCTCCTTGTGGGATCTGTGAGTATAATAAGCTATCTCTTCAATGACAATTGTCTTCTGATCTGTTGGCTTTACTGTGCTTGAATAATAATAATAAAAAAAACCCTACATTTAAAAACACTTGCATTCTGTATCTGTGGGACAATGTTGCTTTAGAGACCTATTTCTCCAAATGTGATCCACTGACTGCCTGTAGTGGAATCATCTAAAGAATTAAATATCAGTTGGGCGTGGTGGCTCACGTCTATAATCCCACAACTTTGGGAGACTGAGGCAGGTGGATCACGGCGTCAGGAGATCAAGACTGTCATGGCTAACACAGTGAAATCTTGTCTTACTAAATCCAAACACTGTAATAACAATAAGAGCAAAAAGCATTTTAAAAAAGGATTTACTCTGCCTTGAGAAGCCCCTTTCTTATCTCTTTATTATTATCAAAAGAAAAATTTTTAACACTAGAATTTATTGAGTGTTCACTATGGACCAGGCATCATTAAGTGTTTTTATACATTATTTTATTTAATCTTCATGGCAATCAGTAAGAAATATGCAAGAAAAGTAACTTGCTCATAGTCACACAGCTTGCTAGTATTGGGGCATGCATTTATTTTTGAATGATACATGATTTATGCATTTACTTTACACCATTAGACACAATACAAATTCAGGCAGATAATAAGATATCTATGTACAAGAAAGAATGATAATAAACAGATACGCATATGTGCACCAGCAGGCCAAGAGGATGGCCCGAATCTTACAGCTCCTTCTGTTTTGTGTGTCCACCTTCTTCACCAGTGGTGGCCTAGTCTGACTTCTCTTGTTATTACCTCAGGCTTTTCCTCATATTTCTACCACTCATGGACATGTCTCTACATGGTATTTTACTTAGTTTTGCCTGCTCTTGGATTTAAGACAAAGGAGCTCACACCACATGCATTTCTCTGGTTTGCTTCTTTGGCTCTAAGCTTATCGATGAGATCCATCTGCGTTGATGGGTGAAGATGCAGGTCACTCATTTTTACTGCTGCACTGAATTCCATTTTATGAATGCTTTTTTGGCTGTTTTTCTGTTTGATCTTTGGGTTCTTTTAGGTTTTCTACTATAAGAATAATGCTCTTAGAAACAACATGTTGTTTTCTTCTGTCCCTGAACATTTTTAAATGATAAATGTTCCTTCTTATTTTAAAACATTACTTGGTTAATATTTAACTACAGTTTTCAATAAATATTAGACACATGAAAAAGTTGCAAAAATTATGCAGTGTGTCCTTGCATACTTCTCACCTTGCTTCTCCTTATGTTACATGTTATAAAATCATAAGACAATGAATGAAGGCTAGGAAGTGAACATTTGTTCATAGCATTCACTAATCTGCAGACCTCTTTGATTTTCACATCTTCCTTCCTTCCTTCCTTCCTTCCTTCCTTCCTTCCTTCCTTCCTTCCTTCCTTCCTTCCTTCCTTCTTTCCTTCCTTCCTTCCTTCTTTCCTTCCTTCCTTCCCTCCCTCTTTTCTCTCTTTTTCTTTCTTTCTTTTCTTTCTCTCTCTCTTTCTTTTCTTTTTTATTTCTTTTCTTTCTTCTCTTTTCTTTTCACCAATATACTCTTTTTCTGTTCCAGAATCTTATCTAGGGGTCCAAATTGCCTTTAGTTTCATTTTTGGAGGTAAACTTTGACTTAGAAAATTACAACAGTAGTGTTTCAGGGAGACTGATTTTTAAGACAGCATGTAAAATAGATTTCAGGACAGAGAGCCAAAAGTAGGGCTATCAAGTGACTCTTGCTATATTACAATTGCTTAAGGCAAAGAGGGAAAGAGCTATGGTGGTAAGATGCCAACAGTGAATATATGCCTCTATATAGTACAGACTGTATTGCAATCATGTGCTCATCTGTCTCCCATAGAAACCAACAAGTTCCTTGAAGGCAGGGCCCACTTCAGTTAATTTATCTTGGCATCTCCTTCAGGTACTCGGAAGAGTTACTGACTACAGAAGTTTTTTAGTGAAGATTTGTCAAATAAATTAACATGAGTGAAAAAGGCATGTTAAATGGGAAGCTGAGACCCACAGAAAAAAATAAGCCAAGGCAAAGAGAAAAGAGGGAGAACAAAAATAGAAAAAAAGAGAGGAACCTCACCAGCTGGTGGGTTGGAGGAGGCAAACCCAGAAGAAAGCACATTCATAGGAGACACAGACACAAAGCAAAAAGTAAACGATTTAGAGGCTTAAACAGCTAAGGCAACGGCAGTTCCCTCACTGCATTGCTCACTTAGATCCTGAACGTTACCACCAATCACGTCCCTTGAAAACCTTTCAGAATTTATTTATGGCTGTTCATAGCTCTCAGATCTTTCTTTATCATTTACTCTCTCATCCCATGCCTCTCTCACAGATGACTGCAAAGAATAGTGTCTCCCCGCAGCACAGTGACTGAAAATCATATGGTGCCTGTGCTTCATTGGCTACTTATCGAACTCCACTCTCCACTCACTTCCTGCCTCAGGGCCTTTGCACTTGCTGCTCTCCATTTCTGAGATTCTCAGCTCCCAGATTTTCATAGCGTTGACTTCTTCTCATCCTTGAACTTTTAGCCCCATTCACTCTACCTGTTAGCTTATTAGGTTGTTTTATTGTCTTCAAAGTGCTCAGAGCTCTGTAGGTTTATCTGGCTTGTTTTTTTACTTATTTCCTTTTTATTTGCATTTTCAACCACCAAAACATTTAGCTGCATGAGATAAGGAATCCTGTCTGTCTAATTTACCACTAAAACTATAGCACCTAGAAGGGCATGAAAGGACACAGGGAGGGATGAAAAAATTGCTTTGCACACTGTATTCAATATAGTCATGGGCCAGACGGAGGTGGAGGCCATGACCATCAATTACAATGTCATTGCTCTAAATGATTAAAAGAACTCTCAGCACTAATTTTTCTATTTTCCTTTGCTTTCCAAGCTGGGCACCTGTTCTTTAAGGATAGAAGAGCAACCCCTGAACTAAGGTAAAATTTCAAAGAATTTATTATCTATTTCAATTTAACCACATTTTTTGAATGCCTGCTAAATGCTAACTACTGTAGCAGAAATGGCATATAAGGCTGGGTGTGGTGGCTCACTCCTGTAATCCCAGCACTTTGGGAGGCAGAGGAGGGTGGATTGTTTGGGCTCAGGTATTTGAGACAAGCCTAGGAAACATGGTGAAACCCTGCCTCAAAAAAAATACAAAAACTTTAGCCGGGCATCGTGGTGTATGCCTACAACCCCAGCTACTTAGGAGGCTGAGAAAGGAGGATCACCTGAGCCTGAGTTGAGGCTGTGGTGAGCCATGATTGCACCACTGCCCTTCACCCTGGGGGATGGAGTGAGACCCTGTCTCAAAAAAAAAAAAAAAAAGGCAATTAACAAATTTCTGTTTTCGTTTTTTTAGGGTGTTTCTGTCAAATAGAAATGTTTGATAAGCAAATAACTGGTTACACAGCAATTTACTAAAAGCCGTAATAGAGAGATGCTCCGAGGATTGTGGAAGATTAAATGATGGAGGAGAATTACTTACGGCAATTTACTACTACCTTCAAATATACAAATTAGCATTTTTAAATAATGCTCTGAAGGTTGATGGCAGATGTTTCTAGGGAGATTCAAGAAAGCGTGGGAATACTGGATTAAAGTTAACCGGTTGTGTCTCTAATGCAGGATTTATCAGTGCCTTTAAAACTTGCTAATGTGTGCTTTGATGTGGGGGGTTTTGGTAAGGATTATTTTTTTTTTATAAAGAGAATCTTATAGAACTAGTTTCCCCTGAGTAAACACTAAGAAATGATAATAAAAATTACAGAACAAAAACAAACTGGGATGAAATTTCTTCATAAAACATGTAGCTTAGGGCTTATTAAATGACTTTTTGATGTTCAGAGGTGAGAGTTTTCCTGAAAAAGTCAGGAATGGAATTCAGAGAGCTCTTTATTATTTTCCCATCTCTATTACCTCCTCTTTCTTTACCCTCCTACAGCGTCTTCAAGGTCCCTCTAAAATCTGACTCACATGGGAAAGAGTTCAAGGTCTAATTGGTAGAAGACTCCTGACACCTCTAATTTTTAAAAAAATCTACATTAAGGAATGATAAACAACTGAAAATGAAGTTTATCGTAGTAGCAACTAGCTCCTAGTCTCTAATACTATTCTCTGCAGAAAGGAATTAGGACTCCTCAACAAAATGCTGATTCTGTGGCTGAGGCAGGGTAGACACAAGGTGGGCTGGAACACCTTGTTGTTCCAGAAAGTATGAAAATACTAAAAGAGAAAGAGAGAGAGAGAGAGAGAGAGAGAGAGAGAGAGAGAGAGAGAGAGAGAGAGAATGAGACATATTACACAGACACAGAAACAGTTTGAAGTGGTTCCCACTGGCCATATCTAAGCAATCTGAGCACCAAGACAATTAGAGTAATAAACTATTGAAAAAATAAGAATTTGTGAGTCCTTGCCAAAAATAGAGATAAATAAATAAGTGGGAAAAGGGAGATCTCTTACCTACAGTAGAAGCCCAAGTGCCTGCTGTTAAACATGGAGGAAGTACTGCAGTTAGAAAATCGATATTTTGCAGCCTCATACTAAGGATTGGATTCAAAAAGAATTATCAGTCCAGAGAGAAATGTTGATAAAGAGCAAGATATTTACATGTCAGTAAAGTGTGTCCCTACAGATTTCTTACAGTTGTAAAAGAAAAAGTAGTACTGACCAGATAGTAACTCTGTGGTAGGTATATATCGAATATAATAGTTATATATAATTATAGACTTTGCACATAGTTTTTATAATATAACCATATAAATTACGTAGTTCTTTATAATTCTATACAATGTAGCTTTTACCTAAGAGTAATCATATAATGGTGAAATAGTACAAAGCTTGACTGTGTGATACAAACTAACATCACCAATGAAGGGTATGTGCCTTCATGGGCCTCCAGGTATGAACACTTGAGGAGGACACAACGTCACTTGTATATCACTCCAGCCTGGAATCCATAAACTGAATTTATTCATGAGGAAACACCAGACAAACCCAAAATGAAGAATATCTCAATCGGTAAAAAGAGACTATTTTCTTCAAATTTGTCTATGTCATAACAGACAAAGAAAGGTGGTGAAAATCCACCTACCTATCTACCTACTTACCTACCGACTTACCTACTGACTTACCTACCGACTTACCTACCGACTTACCGACTCTATCTATCTATCAATCTATCTGTCAATCTATCAATCTATCTATCAATCAATCAATCTATCAATCTATCAATCAATCAATCTATCAATCTATCAATCTATCTATCAATCTATCACTCTATCTATCTATCTATCAATCTATCTATCAATCTATCTATCAATCTATCTATCTATCTATCTATCTGTCAATCTATCAATCTATCTATCTATCTATCAATCTATCTATCAATCTATCTATCAATCTATCTATCTATCTATCAATAAATCTATCAATCTATCTATCTATCTATCAATCTATCTATCTATCAATCAATCAATCAATCTATCTATCAATCTATCTATCTATCTATATATCTATCAATCTATCTATCTATCAATCTATCAATCAATCAATCAATCTATCTATCTGTCTATCTATCAATCAATCTATCTATCTATCAATCAATCTATCTATCAATCTATCTATCTATCTATATATCTATCAATCTATCTATCTATCAATCAATCTATCTATCTATCTATCAATCTATCTATCTATCTATCAATCTATCTATCTATCTATCAATCTATCTATCTATCAATCTATCAATCAATCTATCTATCTATCAATCTATCAATCTATCTATCTATCTATCTATCTGTCTATCAATCTATCTATCAATCAATCTATCTATCTATCTATCAATCTATCTATCTATCTATCAATCTATCAATCTATCTATCAATCTATCAATCTATCAATCAATCTATCTATCTATCTATCTGTCTGTCTGTCTGTCTGTCTGTCTGTCTGTCTATCTATCTTTCTATCTATCTATCTAATCTATCTGTCACACAGAAAATGAAGCATTTGGGTAAAATTTTAGTAATAGATGAATCATGTAAGAAGTATATATGCGGTTTTGCACTCCTCTTGTTTTCATTTTAAGTAATGCTATACCTGGCACATAGTATAGTTCGCAAATGTTACTGTTTCAATCAGTATTCAATGGACTAGTTGACTGAAGGACTTTGCAGTTGTACTAGTTCAAAGAAGTTTAGAGGAAATACAGCTTAAAGACATGAGGCTGAATTAATTGTGTTTCTGAAGTCCATTTCATTGTTATGATTTTGATTTTTTAACAGAACTTTGTTTCTGATTTGAAAACTAAATGATTATATTTTTAATGACCTTTGGTCTAGTGCCGTCTGTATTTATTTATTTTTAGAGGAAGGCAACACTATAGCTCAACTGAAGATTGTAATTGATTTCCAGAAAGGCCTTTAAATTAAAAGAAACTGAACATCACATGCTCTTTCCTACTAAACAAGACATGCTATACCTGATTTTCAAATATAGCTAATATTTCCTACACAAGAATTAAACCACACTTCCTTCTCTAACCGTGGCATCTTTCTAACTTCATATATTTAGCTTACACTGGTATATAAATTGAGTGGTAAAGCATTTGTTTTGCTCTTGTTCTTAATTCTTTCTTAGACCAATTGCATTAACAAACTCAATGTCATCTGCTGCTAAATGATGGAATGCACACCCTCTTCTCGGTCTGGTAAACTTCCTTCATTTCAACCCTGTTTGCCTGTTTGGCCCCTTAGCATTTTTAACAAAACTGACCCCTGAGCTTATCGACTTCAGTTTTTTCTACAGTGATTTCCCAATCCTGCAACTTTCTTTTGCTCCAACATTCTGTTTTAGAAATTTTTTGAAATGCTCTTCTGGGGATGGAATGGAAAGAAATCATGCTTTAGAGTCAAGAAGGGTTGTACATAACACAGCATCCTGTTTCTATCACATTCTTGCTGTGTGCGCAACAGGGCAAGCAGCATGGTTTAACATTGGGGTGAGGTCTCTTAAGGCGAACTGTGAGGATTAAAATCCTGTTTAGTGACCCTCTTTGCTGGGCAAGTAGTTTTACTTCTGTGTGAGTTTTCTTTTCTTTTAATGAGGATATTAGAGCTCACCCGCTGGAATTAAAGTGGAAGTTAAATGATACAATTATGTCAAATAATTAGAACAGTGCCTGGCACATTAGCCAGAACCTTTCCAAGTTTCAGGGTTATTTTTTTTTTAACCAAAAATTGAGCGTCAAGCCTATTTTACATTTTAAAGTAAGGATTAAATAAGATATTGCAAGTAAAGAATCCAGTCTTATGCCTGGCTCATTAATAGACATTCATTCATTTATTGAAATTGTGTTTATAGACCTCCTGTGCTAGATTTCCTGCATTTCAAGGGCTGGACATTCAGAGACGTTTCAGACATACTACAGTCTGTGCTCTTCTGATTTATAATAAAAGAATTAGTTACTGTTGTTATAACAGATAAGGACTGAGTAGGCCTAATCTACAAATCTTAGTCAAATCATGTTTGTTTTTCTTATCTTCCATCCTCACTTCTGAGGATATCTAATTTCCCTTTGATTCAGAGTTTAGAATCCCATTTTCTGTTCCACAAACAGTATTTGAATGCATCTAACTCAACGTTGAGCTAATAAGGATAACGAACATTCTGGGGCCATTTTGAAGTTTGCAGGGAGCTTTCATGTGTGGTTTCTCCCTTGGTGCACCCCTGATGCGGTGAGGGACAGCTGCAGGCCCATTATCATCATGAAAGCTCCCACCGAAACATGTCTGCGACATGTTCTTAGTAATTAGTGAAATAAAAGATTTTAAAGTAAAAATATTCCTGTCTCTTCAAAAAGCAAACAGATTCTAGAATAGGCAAGGACTAGAGCTGGAGGAGGAAAACTGGCATTTTTTTTCTTTGCATAATTTTTCTGACAAAACAAAAAGATTTTGACATCATTTTTATGACAAACTGTACCCATATCATTGGAATTTTTGCAAATTTAGCATCAATCATGTACATTTTTCCAGTCATTTTCATTGAAATTTCATTCTATTTATCTTGTTGGCAAAGTGAAAAGCAATTTTTGTTTGCTAACGCTGCCTTTTCCCTTGCTGCATAAAAAAGTGGTGATGGGGAAAGGAGGGGGGTTTTTCTTTTCTTCTGCAGGGAAGCCCCCAGTGTGATCATTTGTATATACAGTCTATCATTGCTATTTTAGCCTATTTCCGTTTTATTTATAGGTTTTACTCATTTATTATTTGCTTGGAAAGATTTTGCCTAGAACTCTTAATTGGTACATATAGCAATTAAAACTTTATTACTTAAATATTTTTGAGAACCAGAAAGAAAAGGTACGCAAATCAGCATAATCAATTTAGCCATAAAACCCCAAGCCTGACTTTTTATTTTATTTATGATACGCATTTTGTTCTAATGCTTTGTAAGTAGCATAGCTGTTCTCTCTAGTTCTACATAAATGAGATTCATGCCTAATGTGCCTCCAATTTTCAAAAACAATCCCTCAAATATAGTTTTAACTTGCCATTAAGACTGTGTCTACCCATCATAAAATGAATGTTTGGGAAGGAATTACTGGTGCATGCAGGGTGTTAGTTTTTTAATATGAGAATCAGTTCTGCCCTGAAAGTCTTTTCATCACAACTTTCCTGTAGAGAAGTGGCTTTTGCTGTTTTCAGGAGATGTTTCTAGACAAAAGTCACATCAAGTCTATTCCCCATTGATTTAACTTTAGCAGTCTTTGTTGTAGACAAAATTTTACAGATAGATAAAAAAAAGATTTTAAAAATAAATGTAATGGTTTAGAAATGTTTATTCAGTGTAGGCAGAGCATCTGTTGGTACCTTATATCCCTTGGGAAGATTTCTGAAAGACTATAATGAATAAAATGAAAAAAGTTGGAAATTTATAGCAACCCCTAAACTATTCAAAGAATGATGAAAATTACTCTGAAAAGTTATGATGAGTAAGTAGTCAGCAAACACACACACACACACACACACACACACACACGAAGAAATGAAAATGAATTCAGGACTGTGCTAGGTACTTTTACCTACATTATCTGCCTCATTTATTTCCCTCCTAGACCCACAGAATTCACTGAAAAAGGTGTTATTATTACCCATTTTTAAAACTGAGGAAGCAAATAAGAGATATTAAATTATTTAAACCCTGATAAATTAGATTGGTTATAAAATAAGCTCAGAGAAAGAAAGAGATGAGAGAAGGGAGAAATTGGTGGCTTTAATGAGGGCTGAAGATGTCAGAACAGAAAGATCTTACACAGCCTGGAAAGATGACTGCAATTTAAGAAACTGCTCACCTTCTCCTTTACAGTAACTCACTTCCCCTCCTTCATCTCTGGCAACTGAGATATATGTTTTTATAAACTTCCAAACTCTAAATTATAAGAATTGTCAAGGCTGTTTTCTACTTTCTAGGACTATGGATTTAAACTTGGAAGGGTTTCAATCAATTCTTTATCTCAGTAAAAGAAAAGTGTTTTTGTAACATAGGAGATGAAGGGATTTATCTGTACACTTACAGAAAATATCGAAAACCAACACTGAAATCCTATGAGAGACAGGAGTTCTCCTTAGCTCTGGGTTGGCTCACATGGTAAGTTCCATTTTGAGTGAGAGAAACACAAGAGTACACCAGGATGCATCCTGAATGCTTATCTACCTTATCCATTCCAACCTTGAGGCCTCTGTACAAGTTAGGGATGATTATGCTCATGTACAGATAAGAAAAATGAGGAAGAAAGAGGGTGAGTAACCTACCAATGATCAGGTAGAAAGGTAGAGAAGAAACTGATGCAAGCCCAGATTTGTTTTATGCAGTGTCTATGAATTTCCCATTAAGTTCTGTCAACTCGATTAACAGCCATTGACAATGACCTGGGCACTATACAGCAAAGCCAATAATCTGCACCTTATTGCTCTTTTCAAATGATGGTAGAAAAATAAGGAAATAACATCAATTAAGTTTTGCTGTCATATAGCCTCAATTCTTATGATAAATATTAAGGACCCCACAGAAATCAGTAGGAAGCACCTTTCTTTCCATGCCAAGATGTTGTGCTTGACTTGTCAGTGAGATAAGTACTTTGAATTTGAAGATTGAAGCCTGTATGTCAGGTTGCAGATTTTGGCAATGAGTGAGTTAAACACTGATATATGTTTATGACTGTAGGACAAGCAATTTTATTTCTTACTCAACATCCTTTCTCCCTTCTTTCTTTCCAATAGATCCCCACATTTGTTGAGAATGATAATGTACTTTGCCACCCTTGATCTGATATAGATCACAATTGGTCAAAGCCAATGGTGATAATAATTTTGTCTTCTCAGTCTCAGTTCTGCCAATGGAAGTTGAGAGGTCTACTAACATTGTTTCCAGAAAAGCTTTTCTGTTTCTGATTAAAACGCCCAGGTATGTCAGGCTACCACTTCTCACTTCTTTCCTTGCTTTAAATGCAGATGTAGTACCTGGAGCTATGCAGCTTTTCTGTGACCATGAGGTGATGGATGAAGATGCTGGAACTGACATCATGGAGCTGTTGAAGACACACCAATAACAGTCTACATTTTGACTTGTATTGTTTTGTGTGGAAAAAACTATTTTGTTCAAATATTGTAGTTGAATGCTTTGTTACTTGCAGTTAAATACATTCCTAACAAGTAAAGGAGGGATTATAACTATAATCTTACTATAACTGTCTATATAGCTACTAATTGAATATATTATATTTGAGAAATAATAATTGTGGTAATCTAACTTGTTAACCCAGTTTTCTCCAACAACAATCTAAATTGGTTTAAGATGGGTCACTAAATAACATACAATATGGTAAATAATGAAATAAGTAAATGTCAAATAGGTGAGCACGACAGAGAATTATTGAAAATGTACTGTATTTTATTTCAGAAATAAAATTTACTCTGAGTTTTCACTGTTCTTTCTCCCCCTTTTATCATGGCACCCCATACATATGAAAAATTAGTTCACACTAATTATCTGCAAATGGGACTCATCGTCACAGTGAAATTGTGTCTCTCCTTGATCCTAATCCAAATTTAACTGTAACCTAAATGATACCTGACAGAAGTATGCAGAGGTCACAGAGTCCCTACCTGGTGAGAGACATTAATCAAACAAATGTCATTTGTACAGTTCAGCAGTTTTATATCAGAAATTTAACTTAAAACCTTACAAAAAAGGAGGATTAAATGAAATACATACAATGCATTTAGAATAGAAAGGCAAAACTCTGGAGACCAAGGTTGCCAAATTATTATTTTTAAAATCTGGCTGTAAGATATACAGGCCATTTGGTCTCCTTGGCCTTCTTCACTGACATTTTTAATCAGAAAAGTTTCCCCTCACTTGTCACTTTTTCACTCTGAGATCATCATTACTAGCAGGTTAGTCGATTTTCTATGAATTGTTTGATACTTCTGAGAACACAAAATCATTTTGATAATTCTGAGAATGCAAGTCATTTTGTGGCATTCAAGTGAAAATATCTTGAACTTGTTTTCTTTTTTTTTTTTCCACTTAAGAAAAGAAAGTAAATAAATGTGAAGGGTTGCTTTCCATAGCCATTCCTGTTTAGAGACTCATTTGTTGCATTCTTGCTTTAGTAATTTTTATTTTTGTTTATTTGTTTCCTTTTCCCTTTAAAGGCATAGATGAGAAAAATAATTGCTGTTTAGAAGTGAAGGGAAATAAATTTTATGGACTCCAAAAGCCTTTCCAGGTGGCTAGACAAAGTGCCTGGACATGCTCATATAATGTGAGTTCAAAGCATGAATTAAATATCTACTTTTCTAAAAAATAAATTTCATCTGGGGTGCATTTTGCTACCCAGATTGTGAATAACTTAGTATAAAGCCACATTTTCATTTGCAAGGCCCTTGTTCATGCTACGTCGTTTGTCGTTCTCTGTTCAATAAAAGGTAAGCAGACATTTTCCAAAATTTTTTTTTTAGAATATTTATTTTTTTCAGGAAACATGATGGGTTTTGATGAATTAAGGGACAGAAAGAAAAAAATCCCATGTTACTAATTTGTATATGACAGCAGGTGGTTTGGTTCAAGTGAACAGTAAGCACACGTAGAAGTCAAATCAGAAAAGCTTCATTATCTGGCTAAGTGAATTATCTCCAGGATCATACATTAAAACACAGAAAGGCGCTCCTTTGTTATCTTTGATAGCCTCAAAGGAGTGAAAAATAAGTTTCCTTTTTTAACATGCTTGACAAAGTCTTAGCGTCCCCATAGTGAGGTCCTCACAGGTGGTTCACAGAGAATGAGATTACATAATTAAGACTTTGGGAAGCAGAGGTCACTGCAAACCCACACTGGATGAAAAACAGAGGCTGGGGTTTGAGCAAAAAGAAAACTGATTCTTTTCATTTAACTCATTATTAAACCACAAAGAACTTTATTTTCAGTTTATATACACTGTACCCTGTGACATAAAATAAGAGTTTGAAGCGATTTTTAGAAAGTTAAAAATATTTTTGCGTGCATGCACATGTGTGCACATCAGTGTATATGCATGCTCACATGTTTGTCAACGTGGGGAGGACTGTCGCCATTGTTCACCTGCCCCAGACAACAATGTTTATCTAAGTGCTCTGGGTATTAAAGGAATAGTTTAATGATTGAAGGCATCTTTATATTAGATATCTTCCTTGATTGGCTCTGACAGTTATATTTGAAAACTTATTCAATAGATAAGTAGATTAAAGATACATAAGAATGTCCTAATTACCCCAACAGCATTTGAAAAAAAAAAAAAAGTCTTGAATATGATACTGAACCAAAAGTGTTTGACAACTCATTTTAGCTATCTTTCAGATAAAGAATAAATTCAAGGATTCAGTCACTTGTGCTTACAGAGGAACATATGGCATGTTCTGTTGGAGGACGGAGTAACCCTCAATGTACCAGCCAGATTTTTAGTTAGTTATTCCAGCCTCTTCATCTAAGGCTCCCTGTGGTCTTCACTTCCCAAGTGACGGAGCTGAATGAAGAGATGATTGTGCATAAAGTGGTTTGTGATCTTCCTCAGGGAAAGACTTGATAAAACGTGGGCTCTTCTTAGGATACAGCAGATGTGCAGACCACAGCAAAAGCCCTCTTCGTTAGAACGACTCAGCCATGAATCAAGCATTGTCACATTCTCAGCTGGGCAGGCGGTCACTGGGGAAGCAGGAGGAAGGGAATGGTAGGAGGGGCACACAGTCTCCCCGGGCCATTTATATCAGGACTGGAGTGAGGGGAGCTGTAATAATCCAGGTATCGTCTCTACTTTTGATTACACACCAAATATTAAAATAACAGGGTCAAGAGGAAAAAGCTCAACTGTGATTTCAGCTTGGTAAGCAGCATCGCACTCACTGGTTAGGATGAGAGATGTACAAGCTGCTCACATGACTGCTACGGTTTATCCTTAGCTGCAAAGAAATTCTGGTCAGGAACAAAGACCAGCACAGGCCAGCATGCAACTGAGAGCTGTGTTGAGAAACACAGGCTGAGTGCTCCAAATGGTTCACAGGAAGCCATGAAGGAGCCCGGCGTCAGGGAAACGTGGGCACATTGGCTTTTCTTCCATTCTAGGCACATGGGAAAGTGGCTGTTCTCAATCTTATGTCCTCCTTTAGGGACACAGGGCTACCTGGCAAATTCAGGAAGTGATTTGGCTTTTAAGAGGCTTTTTCAAGGTTACTTATTTCATTTATTCACCCAGTAAGTAGTTGTAGCTTTCCGACTTTGTGATCACTGTGAGAGGCACACACAGACCTGCCCTCATGGAGTTCATAATCAAGGCAGAGCAAGCAAGCTCCAGAAAGCAAGAGCATGTGAGCAATATGGAGGTGCAGAGGGGAAGATACAAGTTGGAAGGGCGCTCCAAGGAGAACATCTGATCGACCCTAAGGGCTCTGTGCAAACATTCCTGGGTTCCTTGCAGAGTTGCAGTCCTCATGTCAGCGTTTTCCAGAGTGAGCTGGAGCTTGGCAGCAGCCCACACATCTGCTGCATTGAAGGAATAGCTAGAGGTTTATAAAGCTGTTTCTTTAGGAAGATCACAGTCCTTGACTTCTAATATCCACCTAGGCTTTCAGGGGTTGGGAGAAAGATCTTCCCTCTATGTTTTCACAAGCCATTGGAAAATGAAATGCTCTGCTACTCCCCTGGCATAGGAACAACAAAGCATTGAGAGCTTCACTTGTAAAGAATAAAAGAACAAAATCAAGATGATGCTGTAGATCACGCAATGTTTCACCATTTGCATGAAAGCTGAAATATCCCCAGGCCGGACTACAGAATAATGTGACACCTTGAAAGCACAGATTCACAGAGCCTATGATAAAAACAGAGAGTCGGGAAATTCCAACGTTTTCTTCTTTTTAATGGAATGAAATTTTATTTAACATTTGCCTGCATAGTTTTATTTATGTGTAGCACTGAATTTCTGAAGGAAGTTCTCACATTGAAGGTTGCTGTTATGGCTTTATCAACTAATCCTGTGTGTGTGTGTGTCTGTGTGTGTGTGTGTGTGTGTGTGTGCGTGTGTGTTTTAATTTATGTGATAGCAATAATGAAAAAGAGGAATGGAATGTTAATACATACCAGCTCCCAAGAGAGAAGGGAAGCGCTGCAAATACACACAGTGGCATCAAAGCAACATTTCTTTTGAACTAAATAATGCAAATTAGGTTTACCTCTATCCATCTCCCTTTTCATTGAAATGTATTTTCAAAAGAAATAAAATACGGGTTGTCCTTGTTTTGTTGCTGAAAACTAGGCCTAGCTAAACAAAACCAAGTTTTTGAGGCTGTCAACACATCTTACAAATGATGAAATTTCTCTGCAAGCATGTTAAATTAGAATGTAGAAGATCCTAGCTGATTCGTGTAGCTCAAACTTCTGAATGCACTCATTGTCCCTTCTCCTTGTCACGGAAGCAAATTCATATTGACTGTCCTATCCTACACTCTCGTGCGGTCAGTTTTCAGCAGCCGGTCAGCTGTGGGCCTTGCACACATCCCACATTCCCTTTGTTGTTTCCTGCAGACTTGTCTCACTTTCCCTCCCCTTCTCTTGTCTTCCTGTTCGTATTCTCCACGAGTTTATTTTCCATTTGGAATCTATCTTATCTCCTCAACAGGAGTATTGATCCTCTGTCATATGGAACACCTGCCTCCTGGTGTCCCCTCTTCACTGTCACACAGACTATTACTGCATGTGGTCACTTTTGATTATTCCAATGTTGACTGCAGTTTTCCCAGCTGATGCCATGTAGGCTTCTCATATATCAAGAACAACCAGACGGCTCCCTGGTCTTTTGCTGTGGCCAGATGATTGACTCAGAGGCTTGGACTGAAAGACAGAAAGCTGTGAAATTGGTGTATTAATAGAATTATCACTTTTAGGATGGGGGCAAAAGTGGGGGAAAAGATAAACAAAAAATGTGCACATTTCCAAAAAGAGAAAGGGGAGACATAGATTCAGGTTTGGGTGTCTTGAAGGCATATCCATAGTGAGGACTTTGATGAATGGCTCTCTATTTCTCCCATCCCCTCATCCAAACGTGCAGTGTTAAGGAAGTGGGGTACCACTGTTCTCTTAGCAGGCTAAGAGACCGGGCCATTACCACTCTTGTTAAAAATGTGGGGTTATTTCAGGAAGGTAGAAAATACGCTGACCATATGACATACATTTTTTGTTACATCTTACCTGAAGAATGTTGCTTTTGATGAAGGAAACTAGGTAAAAATTATCTTGCTACCCAGAAGAATTGTTTTAGGTAAGACAGATTGATGGTAAAGATACTTAATTGGTTTAATTAATCAATCTGAAGTCTTCGGGATGGCCACACAAGGGTGTCTTTCTGAGTACGAAAAGAGCAAGACATTGTCTCCTTCGTGTGTGCGTCCTTTT